AGAAGGAAAAAAATAACGGAAATGCTTAAGCAGACACGACTATCACAAGCAAGGAAAATAAATCTAAACAGGGAGATGGAAGAAATAGAGCAAACGTTGAAGCGATCATACGAGTCTGGGGAGATGGAATTGGAACAGAAAACTATACAAGAGATAAAGAAAAATGCAAAATATTTTTTTCACATACGGAAAATCAAACTAAAAAATCAGCAGTATTGATCTTTTAATTACAACCGAAGGTTCGTACACCGAGGACAACAAGGAAATTGATGAAATTCTAGAAGGCCAGTATGAGGCTATGTTTAGCACACCAATAAACAACATGAAAGTTGAGGATCCAGACAGCATCTTTATGAATGACATTCAAGCTGCAGATAATATAACGGATATTAACACGAACTCTGAATACTTTGAAAGAAAAATTGACAACATGTCCATGCACTCGGCCCCCTGGTCCTCACTCGTGGAACTCAATATTCATACATAAATGTAAAGTACCAGTAGCGTGAGCACTCAGCATAATACGGAGAAAGAGCCTGGATACAGGGGAGATACCAGCAGCACTTAAATCTGGAGATATAGCTCCTCTGTACAAGGGCGGTAGTAAAGCTTTGGCAACAAATTATAGACCAGTTGCACTAACATCACACATAATAAAAGTTTTGAGAGAGTGATTGGGAATCAGATTTCCAGTTTTATGGAAAATAAGCTACACAACCCAGGATAACAATGATTTGTAGCGTGAAAATCCTGTCTGTCACAGTTACTCAACCACTATGACAGAATCACAGAAGCCTTTGAGGAAAAACAAAATGCAAATGTTGTCTACACAGATTTTGCAAAGGCATTCGACAAATGTGACCATGGAGTGATAGCCCATAAAATATGATCAATAGAAATAACGGGTTAAGTGGGGTGTTAGAGTTTCAACTTTTCATCAAGCAGAATGCAGAGAATGCCGGTCAGTCAAGCCCAAAAGCATTGAAAAGCTCTGTACCCCAGGGCACAGACAGTCCTTGCACCACTGCTCTGTATCCCAGGGCACAGACAATCCTTGCACCACTGCTCTGTACCCCAGGGCACACAGTCCTTGCACCACTGCTATTTCTCATTCTTATCTCTGATATAGACAAAAATACTAGTCACAGCTTCGTGTCATCTTTTGCAGACAATACAAAAATCAGCTTGAAAATTGCCACTGTAGAAGACACTGAAAAACTACAGGCAGATACAAATATAGTATTCGATTGGGCAACTGAAAATAACATGATGTTTAGCGGGGATAAGTTCCGGATACTGAGGTATAGTGGAAACGAGGAAAAAAGAAACACAGGGCACAGGACACAATCAAACCTACTCAAAGAAGGAACGCAACATGTAAAAGATCTGGGGATTGTGATGTCTGACGACCTGACATTTAATGAACATAGCCGAGCAAATATAGCGGTGGTCAGGAAAATTCTTGGATGGATTATGAAAATGTTCAAATCCAGAGACCCCACCGCAATGCTAATACTATTTAAATCACCGGTGCACTCCCGTCTTGAGTATTTCTCGGTACTTACTTCCCCTTTCAGAGCGGAAAAGATCTGTGAATTAGAGGGAATACAGAGAACACATACGGCACGCATAGAAAGGGTAAAACATCTAAATTTTTGGGACCGTCTCATAACTGTCAAAATGTATTCTGTGTAAAGGAAACGTGAAAGATACCAAATAATATATACATAGAAGATGCTAAAGAGCCAGGTCCCAAATTTGCACAGTAGAATAGCAACATACTGGAGCGAAAGACACGGAAAGAAATGCAGAATAGAACCAGTGAGGAGTAGAGGTGCCATAGGCACAATAGGAGAACACTGAACATTAGAGGTCCAGACCTGGTCAACACCCACCCTGCAAACATTAGAAAATTATTGTTGGAACAAAGGTGGATGTATTCAAGAGGCACTTAGACAGGTTCTTGCAAGAAGTACCGGACCAACCAGGCTGTAGTGGATATATGGGCTTGCGGGTCGCTCCAAGCAACAGCCTGTTGGACAAAGTTATCACAAGTCGAGCCGGGCTCAGGGAGTAGAACTCTCGTAATCCTGACCAGATACGCTCCAGGTATGCAGCATCACTTACCATCATACAACCTCGGAAGGAAGCAACAGCAGAAGCAGCAACAATAGCAACAGCAGCAACAGCAGCAGCAACAGCAGCAGCAGCAGCAGCAGCAGCAACAACAGCAGCAACAACAGCAGCAACAACAGCAGCAGCAGCAGCAGCAACAGCAACAGCAGCAGCAGCAGGAACAGCAACAGCAGCAGCACACAGCTGTTTACAGTGTCAAATACGTGTACTGGGTGGGGGCGGGGATTTGAGCGCAGAGCAGGGAGTTAACACACACAGGAATATGTGCTAAGAATATGTAACATGTTTCTTAACCAATGACAGCATAACACCGCAGTAAGATATTGTGTGTGTGTATCTCTCTCTCTCTCTCCTGTATCACCCGATGTGGTGATAAGGGCCACATATCACCACTAGAGAGAGACCCCAGCCGGCGGTGCCCGGCTGGGGTCTTTTGTTTTTTGTTTCTTTTTTTCACCTATCTACCCCACCTCCCCCCTCTTCCTTCCATTTATCCCTTCTTCCCTAATTTCATACTCCTCCCTCTTTCCCCTCATCTTCCCCCCCCTGCTCCCCCCCCCTCCCCTCGTCACACTAGGGGTAACACACTAGGAACAATCACTAGGCCTGGACGCACAAATGAACTAAGCCACTGTAAGAACTAAGCACAACAAGTGCAACATAAACATTATCTGTGAATTAGGTTGTCCAGCAAAAACACAACGTTAAGTGTTTTATTTTGTTTACCATATTTATGCAATTACAACGTCATGAGCTTAACAATGGGTAGTCCTTACGTTGTACTTCGTAATAACTGACCTTAAACTTGGCAGTGTGTGTGTGTGTGTGTGTGTGTGTGTGTGTGTGTGTGTGTGTGTGTGTGTGTGTGTGTGTGTGTGCGCGCGCGCGTGTGCGTGTGCGTGTGCGTGTGCGTGTGCGTGTGTGTGTGTGTGTGTGTGTGTGTGTGTGTGTGTGTGTATTCACCTAGTTGTGTTTGCGGGGGTTGAGCTTTGCTCTTTCGGCCCGCCTCTCAACTGGCAATCAACTATTTACTAACTACTTACTGTGTGTGTGTGCGTGTGTGTGTGTGTGTGTGTGTGCGTGTGTGTGTGTGTGTGTGTGTGTGTGTGTGTGTGTGTGTGTGTGTGTGTGTGTGTGTGTGTGTGTGTGTGTGTGTAACCAGAATGTGTAGCAGCCGTTGTAGGTCCGGACATGGGCCGTGGTGGTAAATGTCATGCCCCCCCCCCCATGTGTCCTGTGGGTATATATCCTGTTGCCATAGTGTCGGCATCAGCCTGGCAATACTGGAGAACCTAATTCCTAATGTGGGGGGATTCAATTCTCGTGTGTTCATAAATAGACAAGAACGGCAGAGGTTTGGTGGCGGCGACTGTAGGTGGTGTGGGGGTGGTGTTGCAGGGGGTGGGGGGGATTTTGCTGGGGGAAGGGGGTGTAGGTGGGGAAGGCAGCTGAGGTCTCCCCCACCCCCCCTCCATCCCCCCCCCTTCCTCGGTAGCCGGACTCGACACAAGTAAATAAAGATTTATATGAGGCTGGCGGTGAGGAGAGTGGAGTGAACGCGGCTCCATAAATCCTGTCCATGTACCTTCCTGCTGAGCTGTGTTGGTGGGGTGGTTGGTGGGGTGTTGGTAGGGGTGGGGGGTTCCTGCGGGTTGGTGGGGGGGGGTAGGTGATGGTGGGGGTTGTTGCAGCAGTTGGAGTGGTGGCCGCGGGGTGGAGGGAGGGTGTAGGGGGGGTGGGGAGTGGGGAAGGCCATGTGGAAGATCCACCAGGAGAGTGTGGAAGGAGGCGGCCATAACTGTGACCTTTCCATATCAGAGTCTGCAGGACAGAGCTGCAGCTCTTGTGCCCCGGCTTTCCATCTGTCAATCGTCTAGGGCAATAACTCGGACATCTTTTGACTCCTGTTAAGTATAATAACTCTGGCTTCAGTTAGCGTCTCCTGGCCGTCCCTGCGGCTCGGACGTCTACACGTAGCCTCGCGCAGCAACGCCGCCTCCCAGTAGCACGTCGCATTATGACGTATACTTCACCAGAGGCCAACAAACTGTCGTACTCGAAAATGGCAGCGGCTAGCGAAGGTGACACAATGTCCCGTTTTCTGTTCATGGGTCCTGTGGTAGGTTAGGATAAGGGCACTTTAGTCCGACAGTCTCTCTTTTTTTTATATAATACACTAGGTACATCTGCATTTGTGCAGCTACCCTAGACTATATGAAGAGGAGTAGTGTCAAAAAGCTAACTAGGTGATGCTAAAAAATCCCCATCACTCAGGATGGTTAGTCATACAGAGGCATGTGATAGGCAGTCTGCACTGGCAGACTCCGGATGCATTTTGAGGATATCAACAACACAAGAGTGAATAAGGTAGCAGTGGTAATACAAGTCCCCATTTCGCAGGATGGTTAGTCATACAGGGCCATGTGTTCAGTAGCAGGCACTGGCAAATTTTGGGTACACTGTGAGGATATCTTCAAGAACACGAGAGTAAATAAAGTAATTTCTTGGCGTTTTCTCCCGAGAACGGACTGAACCATATGTAAAGTTACGCCTGCAGTCTTCCTGGAACGTCACTGGAGTCGGCGCCCGTCTTGATCTATAACTGCGGTCTCCTGGTGCTTATAGTGAGTCCTAGAAGCACTTTGGCACGATGCCAGTAGCTTGTACTAAACCTTTAATATGGAACCTGTCCATCTTTGCCTCACTTGTGGTCTCTGTTTACAAGTGTGTCTTGGGCAGTGTCGACCACTGAGAGCATGAACCCACCCGTACAGCAGTGCCAGGGGGCACTGCTCTGATTAACTCCTGATTGCACTGATTAACACTGATTGCTCCAGTGATTAACATCGTATCTTTCGTTGCAGCATCGACGAGGACGAGCAGATCGAGCATGACGTGTCGAGGGCGAGCATCAAGGCGCAGGAGAAGTGCGCCCTCATGTAGGCGTTGGTCAAGGTCCACCTCAACCCTTCACCCTTCAAGTACAAGGTGAGTGTGCCCCGCCTTCCCCGTTACCTGGTCCTGTAAATGAGGCCTCCTAGTTACACACACTAACAGGTAGAGTGGCCCTAGTTATTACCTAGTACCTGGTGTCTACTAGTTATTACCTAGTACCCGGTGTCTACTAGTTATACCTACCTACTTGTACCCGTGTGTAATCTAGGTGTTCTACCCCTAGTTTGCTCACGTACCTAGTACCTGGTATATCCTACTTGTACCCGTGTACCTAGTAATCTAGGTGTTCCTGTGCACCCCTAGAGCACAGTCACAATTGCTCACGAGGCCCCATCATATTCCTAGCTGGTTGTCTTAGGTTGTCGTCTTAGCTGGATGTCTTAGCTTGTCGTCTTAGCTGGATGTCTTAGCTTGTCGTCTTAGCTGGATGTCTTAGCTTGTCAGACATCCTTATTCCCAGATTCTTGACATGCTGCTTTCTTCATTGTGTTTTGTGCCCAGTATTTTTTTATGGTCCTCATTTTTACCGTACTCGAGTCCCTGGAGTTTATCACTGCCAGTCTCAAGACATGTTCCTTTGCGGATAGCGAGAAAGAGGAGGACGCAGACTTAGATATAGCTTAGAGGACGCAGACTTAGATATAGCTTAGAGGACGCAGACTTAGATATAGCTAGAGGACGCAGACTTAGATATAGCTTAGAGGACGCAGACTTAGATATAGCTAGAGGACGCAGACTTAGATATAGCTTAGAGGACGCAGACTTAGATATAGCTTAGAGGAAGCAGACTTAGATATAGCTTAGAGGACGCAGACTTAGATATAGCTTAGAGGACGCAGACTTAGATATAGCTTAGAGGACGCAGACTTAGATATAGCTTAGAGGACGCAGACTTAGATATAGCTAGAGGACGCAGACTTAGATATAGCTTAGAGGAAGCAGACTTAGATATAGCTTAGAGGACGCAGACTTAGATATAGCTTAGAGGACGCAGACTTAGATATAGCTTAGAGGACGCAGACTTAGATATAGCTTAGAGGACGCAGACTTAGATATAGCTTAGAGGACGCAGACTTAGATATAGCTTAGAGGACGCAGACTTAGATATAGCTTAGAGGAAGCAGACGACACTTCAAGAGAAAGTGTCTTCAAGAGACTTGGAAGACTTCAAGAGAAAACTAGATTATTTTTTTTTCAAGGAATGCCGGACCAACCGGGCTGTGGTGGCTATGTGGGCCTGCGGGCCGCTCCAAGCAACAGCCTGGTGGACCAAACTCTCACAAGTCGAGCCTGGCTTCGGGCCGGGTTTGGGGAGTAGAAGAACTCCCAGAACCCCATCAAGCAGGACACTACTTGCAGAGGGTTCCTGGACCCCTTCTACCCCAATACTTCAGAAGCAGGAGCAACATTAACGGAAATGCTGAAGCAGACACGACTATCCCTACAAACAAAGAATAATTTAAACTGGGGAATCAAAGAAATAAAATGAAGAAATCATATCAGTTTGAAGAAATGCAAATAGAATAGAAAGCCATACAAAAGATGAAGAAAAATACAAAATACTTCTTCACATATACGAAATCAAAATCTAGAACCACTGCCAGTATTGGACCTATTCTTACAAGTAAAGGTTCATACACAGAGGATGACAAAGAAATTAGTGAAATCCTAAAAAAAAGCCGAGTTGAGGACATGTTTAACACCCCAATAAACAGCATGAAAGTGGAAGATACAGACAGCTTCTTTGTGCAAGATATCCAAACCCCTGAAAAATAACTGATATCAACACGAACGCTGCAAAATTTAAAAAAAGAAATTAACAAAATGCCCCACGCCCTCAGCCCAGGGTCCAGACTCGTGGAATTCAATATTTATAAAGAAATGGAAGTGCCAGTAGCACAGGCACTCAGTATAGTGTGGAGGAAGAGCTGAGGCACGGAGATGCGCTTAAATCAGCAGAGACAAATCTCCTCTACACAAGGAAAGGAGCAAAACATTGGCTAAGAATTATAGATCAGTTGCACTAACGTCCCACATAATAAAAGTATTTGAGAGAGTGATCAGGAGTAAGATATCCAGTTTTGTGGAGCCCAGTGACCTCCACAATCCAGGCCAACATGCATTTAGAGGGGGAAGATTATGCCTCTCGCAGCTACTCGACCACTATGACAAAATCACCGAGGCATTAGAAGAAAAACAAAATGCAGATGTGGTATACACGGACTTCGCAAAGGTATTTGATAAATGTGAGCATAGAGTGATAGCCCACAAAATGAGGTCAGTAGGAATTACAGGTAAGACGATGGATATTACATTATCTGTTAAACAGAACGCAAAGAGTAACAGCTAATCAAATAAAATCGAGTCTAAGAACAGTGAAAAGCTCTGTACCTCAGGGCACAGTCCTTGCACCACTGCTTTTCCCTATTCTCATACGAGATATAGACAAAAATCCAAGTCACAGCTTCGTATCATCTTGTCAGCAGATGACACAAAATCAGCATGAAAATTACTTCTGCTGAAGACGTTGAAAAGCTACAAGCAGGTATTAAAAAAGTTTTCGACTGGGCAGCAGAAAATAACATGATGTTTAACGGTGATATATTCCAGGTACTCAGGTACGGTAAAAATGAGGACCTTAAACATAATACGGGGTACAAAACACAATCAAGTCTGCCCATAGTAGGAAAACAACATATTAAGGATGTGGGAATAATGATGTCTGACGACCTAACGTTTAGGGAGCATAACCAAGCAAATATTGCGTCAGCCAGAAAAATGATAGGATGGATTACGAGAACTTTCAAATCCAGGGATCCCATCACAATGGTTGTACTATTCAAATCACTTGTGCTGTCCCGTCTTGAGTACTGCTCAGTACTCCCTTCCCCCTTCAGAGCAGGAGAGATTGCTGAAAGAGAGGGAATACAGAGAACATGTGTTGACCAAGACACACACAAGAAAGTGAAGGGACAACGACATTTCGGTCCGTCCTTGACCATTCTCAAGTAGATTGTGAATCACAATCTACTTGAGAATGGTCCAGGACGGACCGAAACGTCGTCGTCCCTGCACTTTCTAGTGTGTGTGGTTTGGTCATCATATTTCAGCCACGTTATTGCGACTCCTCGTCTGCAGAGAACATATACGGCATACATAGACACGTTAAAGCATCTAAATTATTGGGATCGTCTGAAAGATCTCCAAATGTGCTCCCTAGAAAGGAGACGAAAGAGATATCAAATAATATACACATGGAAAATACTAGAGGGCTAGGTCCCAAATTAACACGGTAAAATAACAACATACTGGAGTGAATGATATGGAAGGATGTGCAGAATAGAACCAGTGAAGAACAGAGGTGCCATAGGCAGAATCAGAGAACACTGTATAAACATCAGAGGTCCACGGTTGTTCAACGTCCTCCCAGCGAGCATAAGAAATATTGCTGGAACAACCGTGGACATCTTCAAGTGGATTGTTTTCTGCAAGAAGTGCCGGACCAACCGGGCTGTGGTGGATATGTGGGCCTGCGGGCCACTCCAAGGAACAGTCTGTTGAACTCTCACAAGTCAAGCCTGGCCTCGGGCCGGGCTTGGGGAGTAGAAAACCTCCCAGAACCCCATGAAGATACAAGGTACCTGATAAATGAGTTAGAAATTTGCAAAAAAAAAAAAAATTGACAAAGTCCTCCATGAAGTTTTTAAAGTAGATCCGGATCGGTCACTAAAGCCAAGACGCGTAATGGAACGGACTCTTCCTCAGGACACACGTACTAACACGGTTGTGACACCAGACGCCAAAAATATACTTTAAGTACTGAATGTGACGAAAGCCATAGAACAAGACATCACCTCAGACACCTAGCCCACACCCCTGCACATTGACAGAATAACATCAGCAGCATATGCCAAGCTGGCTAACATTCGTGTAGCCCTCAGCTCCTATACACAACCTTTACGAACCCCGCTCTTGAATATGCTGCCCCAGCATGGAACCCTTACCGGAAGAAAGTACAAGATAAAACCAGAAAGGGTTCATAGCTATGCAACAAGGCTCGATCCTGAGCGGCGAAGACCGAACACAGTAGGAGTAATCCGGGGAGAAATTCAGGAGCCATGAGGAGGATTCGAACCCGCTCACTTGGTGTTCCCTAGCACACGCCCTAGACCACACCACCACCACATGGTCAGGTTGAGGACGTTTACTTGGGGGAGAACCAAGTGAACGGGTTCGAATGGTGTGAGGCTTATGGGGCTGTTGCTACGTTCACATAGTTATTGTCCTCGTATTATGTATATTGTATTAAACTGTGGTTGACCAAGTTTTTCCATTAGTTGGATGTAAGACTGCAAGTTGTTCCTATTTATTTTCATTCCCTTTAACCTTCCCGACCGTCCAAGTGGTTGGGCACCACTCCTCCCCCACCCCCCCCCCCCCCGGTCCCATCCCAAAATGCTTATCTTGACCCCTTCCCAGTGCTATATAGTCGTAATGACTTGGCGCTTTCCCCCTGATAGTTCCCTTCCCTTCTCCCCCCTCCCTTTCCTTATTCTGTTTAATTTTCGTATTGCCTGCTAGTCCTGTGCTCTAGCTGCTTGCATGCAGGGTGTTCATCGCCCTCACCTTGCACTGGGTCAGTACGCTGGCTGTTGCACGCCCTCATCACTAACTCCACTTTCCATACTTCTCCCCGTTCTCTTGATTTGTAACTCCGTTAAAAATGCAGCGAATATGACTAAAAAAAAGTACGAACCTAATCAGTCCACCGAACCTATTGAGGCAGATGCTCGGAAAACACCGGAATTAGTGTGTTTTAGTGCTTACTAATAGGTCGCATTTTTAGCGGATTGACAGGTTCCGTTGAAAATGCGACCTATTAGATTAGAGAAGGGCTCGCATGTGTTCTACCCGCGGATAGAATCTCGTCTATCGAGGTTGGATAGTTCTTTATTGGATAGTTCCTGCCCTCAACACAATTCTTTGTGGTCTCACATTGCTAAGGTAAGATTAGTATCAGGAGAAAGCGTTAAGCCATTCCGACTGTATATCACTTGGAAGGGATATGAGGATAAGGGTTTAGGATAGGCCATAGAAAAGGAATGGTGCCCAACTGCTTGAACGGTCAGGGATTGAACGCAGACCTGCAAGAAGCGAGACCGTCTCTCTCCCGTTCAATCCAAGTGGAGAAATCTCTCTCACAAGTCAATTTGTCGTTCATATCCTCTCTGATTGAACTCTCCCGTTCAACCCCTGCCACAGTCTGGGCACTTGGGTGTTATCTTGGTTAATCTCAAGATATCCAAGATAACATCTGCTGAATGTGTTCCTTCCGTTCTTCCTGCTATCATAGCATGAACCTGTAACACTCCCGGTCTGGTGATAGTTAATGTTTAGGTTATTGACGTGTGTGTGTGTGTGTTTATAGCCTAATATAGTCGTGAGATGTTGACCAGACCACACACTAGAAAGTGAAGGGACGACGACGTTTCGGTCCGTCCTGGACCATTCCCACAATCTACTTGAGAATGGTCCAGGACGGACCGAAACATCGTCGTCCCTTCACCTTCTAGTGTGTGTGGTCTGGTCAACCATACTTCAGCCACGTTATTGTGACGCCTCGCCTGCCTAGTCGTGAGATCACAACAGGACAGCAAAAATTGATCATGATCCTCATCTCGATCTTCAGAAATCATCTCGCATGCCCAATCGTCTCTACACCCCCCCCCTCCCTCTACCCCACCCCACCCCACACACTAAACAATTCGTCTGTTTCAGGGATTGTCAGACACGGAGCGGCCTGCCTCAGCACCACCTTGGGGAGAAACACACACGTTGCTCAAGTGCACTCCCAAAACAGAACTTTAGATAACAAATAGAGTGCGTCAAGGTGACAGAGTATCCTCCCCCCCCCCCTCCGGCCCCCCCATCCCCCCCCCCCCCCCTTCCCTCCCTCCCTCCCCGTCTCAGGAGACGTTTGTGCCCACCTCAAGACTTGTAAACTACAAGCTGTGTTATCTTTGTCGAAACAACTTTATACCAGCCTACTGTAGTAGACACTTTTACAAGTTTGACTCTTTTGTTTTGTACCATGGCAAATATTTGTTATAATGACGCGTGTTTAATGTATTATACTAGTTGAGAGTATTATATTGATTTCAGGATCTTGTTTTGACTCAAATTATATATAACTTTGCTGCAGGCATTATACTACATTATAGGTATCAAGTGATACTCGGTATTTTTTGTTTCACGTATAATGTGTTGTGTGTGTGTGTGTGTGTTCCATGATACCTTAAGGTACATGATATGTACCTTAAGCCACGTGTACTACCATTGCTTTGTTATAGCAGGTGTGTGAAGGTGTGTGCTGGGAAGCTTGCACTTAGCACCCACGGCCAGGTCTCACCTTGCCCTCCATGTATTTGTCTATATATTGTACTGTTTCTAGGCCAAATAAACAATATCACTTTCACTCTCACTTTCTTTGTCATATTTACTTTTGAAGTTGAGAATGGAATTGAGCTTGATTATATCTCCTCCCCAAGCTCAGGAACTCTTGATCATCTCCTCCCAAGCTCAGGAACTCTTGATCGTCTCCTCCCCAAGCTCAGGAACTCTTGATCGTCTCCTCTCCAAGCTCAGGAACTCTTGATCTAATTAACGACAACACGTTCACTCGGCTCTTCACTTTCTGCCCCTCTGGTCTTATTCCTACCCGAGTTCGTCTTGTTTATATCAATGAGTATTTTGTATATTGTGATCAAATCTCCTCTGCTTCTTCTCATAAGCAATGTAAGATTCGCTTTTCTAAGCCTATCCTCCACTTCCTCACAACTTTCTCAGAATGCTTTCCGTGTCTTATGAGACGCTGATGCTTGTGTGTGTGTGTGTGTGTGTGTGTGTGTGTGTGTGTGTGTGTGTGTGTGTGTGTGTGTGAGTGAGTGAGTGAGTGAGTGAGTGAGTGTGAGTGTGTGAGGGGGGGAAAATGAGTGTGCGAGATCCCCAACAATAACCTGGTGCTCTCTTCCCTCACAGGCGGCGCGACTCTCATCCTCCACAACACAGCCGTCCTGTTTGGCCGCTGCCGCCTCCCTACGCCCTCATCCACGCCCTCACCCACGGCCACACCCACGGCCACACCCACGGCCGCCCGCATCCACGGCCACACCCACGGCCGCCCGCATCCACCCAGGCCGTCGCCCATACCACCACCTCTTGTCAACTCAAACTGCCGCCCACGATATTAATCATCGTCAAGTCATAGTGCCAACTGCTCCGTGTTTGTGAAGGGCTCCTAGGAAGGGCTCCTAGGAAGGACCCCTAGGAAGGGCTCCTAGGAAGGACCCCTAGGAAGGACCCCTAGGAAGAGCTCCTAGGAAGGACCCTTACGACTCTAAGCATGAGCT